TTCCTACTTTACTTTTTGGGTGTCAGGTATTTTGTCCCAGCAACAAGAAAGTAACCAAGACATCTGTTTTAACCATTTCTGTTTATTTCTTTGTGGTGATAACTGGAGATTGAACCCAGGGGTATGAGGGATCCCTGCAGTGAGTACTTGATCTCCTGCCAAGTGTTACAGCATGAGGCAGGACAAAAGAGCAAGAAACAAAGTAGGGGTGCTGCGGGGGTCTGGGATGACCAGTCGTTCATGGGGAACAAAAGACCATGAGGCACCCAGAACCTTGGTATTTATTCATTACATCTGAGTCAAGGTCAGTGGGAGAAAGGCAGTGCGAGTTTCTGAGAACAGTAATGGCAACTAAGATGGGCCAGTAAGAAGAACAAAGCATTCTTGCAAGGACAAGGACAAGACAGGGAGGCAATGAGAAAACTGTACCTTGACCAAGTGCCTTATCCTCTTCAGCAGATCTAATCATGCCCTGTGAGCACCCCAGCAGTCAGTAGCCCTAGGGCTTCCAGGGGTGCCCAGAAAAGAGCAAGGAGTTTCCACATTCCAACCTGGCTCAAAGGGTAGAAGAAGGACAAGCTCCAACTTCCCCTAGATTCAATTTATAATGTGTGGTCCCCAACACAGGGCTTCATACTGAACCTTTTGTTTTATTTTGTGTTGTTGTTTTTTGGAGACAGAGTCTTGCTATGTACTTCAGGATGTCCTGGAGCTCACCCTGTAGCCCAGGCTGGACTCCAACTTGAGTCAAACTTCCTGCCCTAGCCTTTTGACTGCTGGGATTATAGGCATGTGGCATCACACCTGGTAGGATCTATATTTTCTGTCCCAACTGAAACAAATGTAAAAAGAAGGGAAAAAATTGGAAATACAGTCATAGGAACCTAACTCCTGGGACAGAGGCCATGCCTGACGAAGCTCGGCTTGGTGTCCAGACAAGGAGCTTCCAAGCACCCAGCAGGATGGGACCGAGGGACGCAGCAAGGTCCCTGAGCACAAGGTCAGACTCAGGTATCAGTAGAGGAGTGGCAGCTGGGGATCACAAAAAGAAGCCAGATGCAGAGGCTCCCAGACCTGGGCTCAGTGCACAGTGCCAAGTGCCATCTGAGGACCTGAATCCCACCCAGGCTGGCGTCTCCTCTGCCACTCCACACCAGGCAGCGTCCAAGGCATGCACACGTGGCTCCAACCCTCCAGCTGCTGCAGAAAAGCACAGAAAAGGAGGACCCCTGGAAATGGTGGCATGATCACTTCATACCACTGTAACTGCTGCCCCAGTGAGGAGAACCAAGGTGCAGGCTGTGCCTGGCAGCAGTGAGGCCTGGGCAGGAGGGTCCTGGCCATCTCATCCCTTGAAGGACACAGACGTGGAGACGTTCACATGGTGCAGGATGAGTTCGATGCTACAGAGGAGCTGGGGGCCCAGGGCACCAGGATGGCCCTGTGCTCACATCTGTGCAGGGTCAGTACTTAGTATGGGGGGAAAGGAATCAGAGGGTCTGGAACACACTGACCAGCTGCACACCCAAGTGATCAAGGAGGTCACCTACAATGGTGTAGATTTCATCCAGGGCCCCTTTATTGTTTCAAAGATTGGAAAACCCATGGGAATTCAAGCACTCATGTCCTGATGGTATCCTTTAAATCCCGGAAGCATCACGGGGAAGAAAGCCTCAGATTCTTGATCTGGGCCCTCTCTATCACACTATATGCTCAAATGACACACCTGCAGCCCCTGCCAATTGGAACCTATAAGTTGACAGCTAGGATCAGCTAGTGTTCAACCGAATGACCCGTTGCATAACGTTGAGGCCCATTGTTATACTCCATGTTATCTCAAGGGTCAGAAAGTGCTATGTGGAGCTCCTCATAGGAAACCTTATGCTCAGCAACAGTAAGAGCTGTGGATCTTTCCACACCAGGAAAATCAGACTTTGGGCTTTTTGAAATTGGGGTGAGCTGGCCAGCAGGGAGATTTTAAAACTGTAATTGTGGACAGGCACCTCCCCTGAATTACACCAACTCCTCACCACCTACAAAAATATAACCAGATGAGATCCCAGCCTCTAGGCATGGTGGTGTTCACTCGTAATTCCAACACTCAGGAGGCTGAGCAGGAGTACTGCCGCGAGTTCAAGGCCAGCCTGAATTACAGAGACCCTTTGAGATCCTGCCTCAAAGAACAAAAAGAGAAACAAAATGATATCCCTGCATGGAGGTGTGATGGGAGGGTGCAGATGTTAACTATTTAGCTAATCCGGAATGATTTTTTTTTTTTTTTTTTTTTTAGCCAGAGTCTTGCTATGCAGTTCAGGCTGGCCTTGACTTCACTATGTAGCCCATGCTAGCCTCCAACATGGTGATGCTTCTGCCTCAGCCTCCAGAGAGCTGGGATTGTAGGCATGCACCACCGTGTCTGGTGAACATGACAAATTTTATACCCCTAAAGACTTGGAGGACTGTTTTTTGTTTTTTGGTGTTTGTTAGAGATGGGTTTTCGCTACGCAGTTAAGCCTGTCTTGGAATGCACTGTGTAGCCCAGTCTGGCCAAGAACTCACAGGGATTCTCCTGCCTCAACCCACAAGTCCTGAGCTTTCAGTCATTTGAAAAATTCCTGGCTGGGATTCAGAGAACTTGACAGAATAGCAAAGGCCCACTGTTGCAAGCTTGATCCTGTGCATAGGCACAGTGTGTACTGGTAGATCCTGTAGGAGACAGGACCTCGCAGGAGGGAGTGAGGTCATGGGGGCCCTGCCCTTCATGGTCAACGGGACCCCAGCCAGGCACTCTTCCTCTCTTTGGCTTCCTGGCAGCCATGAGATGAGGAGCATTGCTCTCCCACCTGCTCCCACCATGCCTTGCTGCCTTGGCACAGGCCTACCAGCAAGTTAGCCAAATTTGCTCTTTTTAAGTTATTTTAAGTTATTTGGGGTATTTGTTACTATTCTGTAACTTAAATTCTTTTTTTGCTTGTTTGTTTCGGGGTTTTTGGGGTTTTTTTTTTTTTTTTTTGGTACTGAGAACAGACTTAGGACCTTACACTTGCCAAGCAAGGTGCTGTGCCATGAGCTATATCCCCAGCCCTTTGTTTGCCTTTTGAGACAGGGTCTCTCAATGTAGTTTAGGTTGGTATGACCTCAATATGAAGCCCAGGCTGGCCTCGAACTTATGGTGATCCTCCTGGCTCATTCTCCCTGAATTCGAGGATTACAAGTGTGGGCCACCACACTCAATTCTTCTAATTTAAATTCTTTATTCAAGGCTCTATGTACAGATTGAAGTTGGGGACATTTGGCCGAGCAGAAAGAGCCCGGGTCTACATCAGATCTCATTTATGATGGTGGGGCAGGGTGTCTCAGGGATCATCAATACAGAATCCTGCCTGTTACAAGGGAGGGATTTTCATGATTTTTCTCCAGTACACTAAATTTTGGAAGAAACAGGAGGGGTTACTTTACACTGTGCCATGACTTGGCATATTCAAGGACAAGTATTACCGTCCAGAAACTTGTTTGTCCTTGATCAGAAATATTTTTGGCGGGAGGTACCAGGAATCAAACTCAGGACCTCAGGCTTCCTAGGCAGGCGCTGTACCACTGAGTTACATCCCTGGCCAAAAATGTTTTTCTAGATCATTTTCCTCATCTTCAGAGTGGGGCTGGCAGCAGTATGAAAGTCATGAGTTCCTGTGACGTGGAAGGGGTTTCTGCATTTTCAGCAAAATCAAGTCCAGAAATTTGACTTTGGCGTGGAGGTGAGACCTACAGAACAAGCACCCTGGAAAGCAGAGTCAGAAGGATCACAAGCTCAGACCAGTGTGGGAAGAGAGCGCTCAGAGAGATGTGGGCTTTCTGCAGGCAGGTGGTCAGCCTCAGGGCTGCTGCCTACAACATGCTTGCCTGCTGCCCTCCCTCCCTCCCTCTTTCCCTTCCTTCTTTCCTTCTGTCTTTCTTTCATTTATTTGCAATGCAGGGGGTTGAAGCCAGGATCCAAATCCTCTTAATACTGAGCAACATCTCCAACCCTTTTTGATTTGTATATTTTGAGATGGAGACTAGAGATATTGCTAAATAGTTCAGGCTGGACTGACCCTCCTGCCTCAGCCTACCGGAGGGCTGGGATTACAGGTGTGTGTCCCCACTTAATGCAGTGCAATTTACTTGCTTCTGCCTTCATGGGAACTTTCATGTCTCCACTTGCTCTGCTCACTCCCCACCCTCCCTCAGTCCCTCTCTCCCCCATCAGACTTTCAGCCCTTCCATATTTCTGCCCTCCCCACTCCTTCACGTCTGTCCCACCTCTTTCTCAGTGCCCGTTTTCCTCTCCTCTGTCTACCCATCCTCAGCCTCGCTTCCTTCCGGCTCCTGAGTTACTTCCAGCCGCTTCCCTCCCCAGCTGCTGCCCTGTTCTCTGCTGCTCCAGGCTCCCCAGATGCTGCTCTGCAGCCTTTCCGCATGGGAGCTGTCAGCCCCTTCCTTCCTCTCTGCATCTGTGCACAGTATCAGCACTCCTGCTCCTCTCCTCTTACTTGGAAACTGCTCTCATATCGCCCTTTCCTCTCAGTTGTTCCCATTTTCCTAGATTTTCCTATGGTGTAAATCTGACATTTCGGTTATGGAAAGATCCCCGATGACTGGAATGGCAAAGGGACGCCCCCCTGGCTCTGTGCTCCCTCCTTCCCTGGGCCATTCCCGGGCACTGCCACTTGTCCAGACCTCTTTCCTTTATTTAGGATTTAGGGCGATCACCCAGGCACCCACGAGCTTTGCTTCCTTCTTCTCCCTCTGCCAGTTAGGACTCCCTTTCAGTTAAGGAATTTAGTCAAATAAACACAACCTCGTGGGGAGAAAATGTCATTGGAGGGCAAACAAGCAATTCAGACTGACAGGATCACACACACACAGAAAGGTGAGAAGGCAGTTCATCTTTATTTTCTATCCACAAGAGTTACATGGCCCTGCCCACTGTAGAACACAAGGAATATACACATTTCCTTTCCACCCACTGCTCCTTTGCATGTCAGATTCAGGAGTCAAGCAACTAATACGTATATTTACAAGAGTTTGAGGGCACTCTCCCTCCTTGCTATAATAGCTAAGATAAAAACCTCTCTAAAAGACAAACTATTTATGTACATCTATCTATTAAAATACCTGTCAAAGCACTATAAGAATAGGACTACAAATATATGGAATATCTCAGTATTAAATCAAATATACATAGTAATATTTCTATGGGCAAAATGTCTACAAGAAACTAATATGCTTTATACTTATACTAAAGAAATCTATGACTTGCCTATGGACCTATCATTATACTTTAAGTAATTGCCTCCCAATCTGACTCCCAATCTGGTCATCTTCAATTGCTCTCAAGAATACAAGGAACCCAGAACATGAAGACAGCAGATTTCCACCTTCTAATTCAAGGGAAACTTGAATGAGGATCGTAAAATTTGCAGGGTGCCAGAGAAAAACTTGTCCCATGTGCACCCACTGGGGGTTCCAGCTCTGGGGAGAATGCTGGGGTGATTCAATTTCCTTGCTCCAACGGGCCAGAGATCTGGAAGGAAGAGAAGGGACAATGTCAGATTTCGTGAGGACAGTTTTCTAGATGGCAGGATTGAGATACAAATGCCAATCCCAGCTGTAGTCTGAAGCAACATCAAGTCCAGCTGTGTCTCTAACACTCATTCTTCACCCTGATCCAGAACCATCATTTCCAGGTGTGGCTCTCCATAGATTTTGGCACACATTCCAAAATCCCGTGAGATATCTCAGGTTAGACCTAGCTTCCTCCTCACAGCAAGAACTTGAAGTGGTTCTCCTTGGGGACCTGACGGCCCTTGGAGAGGGCGGCGCACTTCACTTACGATCACCTTAGTGCTTTCCACGGACTTCAATCTGTGCCGGCAGCATCACTAATATATCAGCGTCATGACTGTAGCCCACATGCTGAGTCCTAATCCCAAGCCCCAGCATCTCACCAAAACGCTCAGCCCTAACCTTGGCTACTTGCACAGGATTTAAACAAATCTTTCCTTATTCCTCTTCCAAACCCGTGCTGTAATGTGTCTGTGGGAAGAAGCCACCCTGAACCTCGTATCTGCTAACTTCCCATCATTCTGACACACATGTGTCACCTAACACTTGGGGAGGAGATGTGTGATTACTGGAGAGTAGAAATTCATGCACAGGAGGAGGGATGGGCCAGGAAACATGCCAGGCGTGCTCAACATAAGCACGGTGTCTTGGCGCAGCCTGGGAGGTACATGCAGTCAGCGTAATTCCCCTCCGTCTCTGCACAGGCCGCCTGTGCCCGCTGAGAGCTTCTTGTTAAACACTCCTTTGTTATAAACAAATCCCTCTCTTTGCTACCCCTGAAGGACAGAAGGCCCTGTATAAATGACAAAAGGCAACAGTACGACTCTTGTAGGGAAGTGGAAATTTATGGCTAGTAGATAGATGTTCACTCAGAACCAAGGAACCAACATCTCATATACACCCAATTGCTCTGAGAGGAAGGACGCCTCCCGAATCTGTGCCTCACAAACAATGTGCTTTCTGTGAGGTCTGACTGAGCAGTGTCCCAGCACACAGCTCACCTCTCCCAGGTCATGTGTGTCTGCTTGTCATGCTGGTTGGTGGCTGTGGAGGGGGCAGGGAGGGGCAGACCTTGTGCCTGGGGCTGGGCTGGTTCCTGATGTGCAGACCGTGGATGGGATGGGGGTAGCATGAGAGGAGCCTCCCTTGGGCTCCCTGCAGTCCCTACACGGGCAGCAGTGGTGCTGTCTGAACCCTGGGACACTCACCCACCTTCTTGAGGCCGCTGTTCTCAGGGCTTCAGGGTCTGTGGGATGAGGGCGCGATCTCGGCCCCACACCCAGAGCGTAGGATCATAAGCTTGGATCTGCAAAGGAAAGCGGCCCCTGAGTGGATGCGAGCTGCAGTGACACCACCCCATGCTCAGCCTCCAGCTCTTCCTGCTCGCCCATCCCCAGCTCCCCTGTTACGTCTCTCCCACCCAGCCCGTGCCTGCGGCCCAGTCCCACCCACCTCCTCACACTCCTCTCGGGTCACCCTGAGGTCCCAGTCCATGGAGCAGATGAACTCATAGCGCAGCTTGTGGAACTCGGGAACCTTTTTCAAATTCCAGTCACAGAAAAACAAGACAATGTCTTGTTTAGGAGCCTGCTCATCCTCCTCCATGTCGTTGGCCAGGTATCTGGGAAAGAAAGCAAGTTAGTGGTCTGAGCACAACCAGGGAGGAGCTGGGCCCGGAGTCAGCTCCCGGGGAGGACAGGCGGGCCCCTCCAGCTCAGGGTGCCATCAACTCACCAGTGCTCCGGAGGACCAGGCCTGAGTGCAGAGGCATAGGCTCTAGGGGCCCTTCTGAAGCTGCCTCCCTCACCAGGGATGAAGACATGACCCCTGTGTAGACCCTGAGGTGGCCTCCTGTCCCTGTTACCAGATGGAGTCGACACCACCATCTCCCCGCCTCCATCCTCTCCCTTCCCTGCAGCTCGTCCTCTGTGCACACGCCTGCCTGCTGACCCGTGGGGAGCATCTGCACAATGTGACAGTATGTTTCTGTGCTCTGCCCGCTCCTCCCCAGTGGCAGCACGGGGCTTGGTTCAGGGTGTGCGTGAATTCCACCAGCGAGTCCTACATGTCCCTGCCCATGGCTAAGATCTCCGGCAGAGGACGCACTGGGGAAGGCTTTGTTGAAGGAAGGAGTGAATGCCAGCTCCATCTGTAGACCAAGGCCATGCAGAGTCGCTGGTGGACTCCGTGCGACAGCAGAAAGGCTCACTGACTGAAAAGGATTGAGCTGCTGTTTTCAGAATGTTCACAAGACCCACACTCAGCAGCCGGCTCCCTGAAGGCAGTTAGGTAAAGGGACGCAGACGAGGAACTAGAGTCCAAAATGTGCCACCAGCAGGGCCTTGAAGACAGGGCTGCTGGAATGCAGAGGGTGCGAGATCAGGGAAGGATGAACACAGTGGTGGCGTCTCGTTTTCTTTGCAGTACCGGGATTGAATGTAGCTGTTTATTGCTGATCAACATCCCCACTCCTTTTTAAAGTTTTCACTGGGAAACAGGGTCCCTGCATCCGCCTAAGTTGCCCAGGCCTGGCATTCTCCTTCCTCAGTCTCCCAGGGAGCATTGCTTATGGATGTGCACAGCCACACCCGGCTTTGTTTTTGAAGGAAGTTTTCACTGAGTTCCCCTTGATCTTGAACCTTGGGCTTGAACCCCTGGCATCAAATAACCCCACCCCCAGAGCAACCTGAGTGGCTGGGAATACAAGTGTGCACCACCAGAGCCATGGAGGTTTGGATGTTTGGAAGATGTGGAATTTTTACTCAGGTTCAAAGTATGAAGACGTGGACAGAAAACAGGAGATGAAGACAGAGAGAAGGGTATGTGGCAGGAGCAGTGAAAGAAAGGAAGAAAATACAAGATGATGAGGTGGCTTGGGTGTAGAGAGATTGCAGAGCGGGTGAGTTCCAGGGGACACCTCCAGCCTTGGTGAGGGTGAAGTACTTGGCGATGCAGTAGCCAAAGGCAAGTGAGCTGTGGGCCGATCTTTGAAGGCTGCTCAGGCAGCACAGAGCCGCTCCCTGGCTGCCCGGCTTATAAAGACACTTGTCAGAAAGACCGGAAGGGCGCACGTTACCCTTAGTGCGGGCCTGTAAGGAGGGCACGCATGGGGCATGGGTCTTGGGAACCCAGAGGAGGCGACAAAAAGACATTTGGTATCACTAAGGAAGGAGACCCTGGAAGAGTCAGAAATGGCTGCCCTCAGGCGTGAGGACCAAGGCCCATGTGTGGGTTCTTCCCGCCTCTGCCGTCTGGGGCTCTGTTTCCCCTGGTGGCTTCCTTTAACCAACATGAGCACAGACTGCAAGGTTTCCTCAGAGAAGTTGGGCTCACTGTAGCGTGATGCCCCTGTCCTACAGAGTCAGCAGGACAGAGAGGTTTAAACCCAGAGGCCAGGCTAGAGTCCCCTCCCCACCCTCAGGGGCGGACCATGGCTGTGGGGGGAGGCCCAGTACTCACAGCGCCAGGAAGAAGTGGATCCTCTGGTACTGCCAGGGGAGGAGGCCGGCCCGGCTGAAGTAGGCGATGACCATGGCCAGGAGATACTGCGGGGAGAGAGAGGACGGTCAGCAGGCACAGCTGGAGGAGGACGGGTGTGGGGACGTGGACTGGGAGTGGGCGGCAGGGCCCCAGTCAGAGAAGACACCCCAGTGTCGGGCATCCTGGTCATTGGGGGAAAGTCAGGGATCTATGGTTATTTACAAATGAGTGCAGTGAGAAGGGAGGCCATGATGCCCAGATGTCACCTCCAAGAGTCTTTTGGGGACAGGGCACTGAAGGCACTTGCATCGGAATGGGGTTTTTTTAAGTGAGAGAAAATGGGTTCCCTGAGAGCTGAGAGGAGGGACCAGGAGCTCCATGCAGTCCCAGCTAGACAGAGAAGCCATAACCAGGAAGACGGTGCCCTGGGCTCAGTTCAAAGGACCCAGGCAGAGCGGGGTGCTGCATCCATCCAGCCTCCAGGCCCAGGCAGGCCCAGAAGGGAGATGGTGCTGTGTCCTAAGGGGGCCCAGGGTGGAGGCCAAGGTGGGAGCTCCCAGAAGGGATTGTGGGGCCGGGACCTTGTCCTCCCTGGGCTGTGCCACAAAGAGCCCAGCTCAGGAAAAAAGACCTTACCTTGTCAGAGGCCCTCAGGCCTTCGTCCCAGGCCAGGAAATCCTTGATGACTGGATCCTCTGTGAAGAGAACACAGTGTTAGACTGTGACCCAGCAAAGGAGTCCGGACTGTGGGAAAACAGAGAGTGAACCACAGCTGCCTGTGAAAAGGTCCTGGATGAGGCCAGGGTCATGCAGATGGGAAGGGGAAGAAGGGCATTGAATACCCAAGGGCCAGGGATCATCCTGAGAATCTGAGAGGAGCAAGTGAGTGAGGGGCCGGGTAGCAGCAACCATCTGCCGCATTAGGACCTCAGGAGAAGGCCAAGGTGGCCTCTCATGACACACGAAGGCACTGCTCCGGAAGTCAGGGGCATCCTGAGCATGTGCTCTTGTGATGGTCAAGGCAGTATGATAAGGGCCACTTCCCTTCAGGAAACTGAGCGGTTCCTCTCTATCAGGTGAGCTGGTTTGAACGATACTTTGTGATCAAGAGGGAACGTGTTTTGAGGACTGCATCATCCCCTCCACATTGGGGAAGGACCATACGGGAGTCCTCCCAGAGTGGCCCGCTCAGGGCTCTGTGTGCTCTTTCCATGGGTGAAGGAAGGGACTGGAAGGGGCTTGCATTTCTCAGAACTGGGTGGGGGGCGCTGTGGGGGTCTCCTTACCCAGCAGCCTGGTGAAGGCCGCGTGGTGCTCGGGCAGCACTGAGGACGGGCGCTTCCTCTGCATGGTCCCCTTCAGGCCACAAGGCTTCTCTCTGACACCCATGTGGGTAAAAGGCCCAGGTCGTGGACATCGCAATGGTTCTCTCTGCTCCTCTTCCATCAGGGACAGATACTCCCTCCACCTCCTGCAAGGTGGGAGCCTGATGTCTTCCCGGGAGGCTACATCAGAGCACTGGGGGCCTCCCCTCCTGTCCTCAGGGGCCTCTGAAGAGCTCTCCCTCTTCCACTTGTGGCCAGAGAACCGAGGTGAGAGGCTGGGGTTTCCCATCAGGGCTGAGGCAGAGGCCCCCTGGGGACCCTCCTGCTGCTCCAGCTCTGATTCTGATTCTGATTCTGATTCTGATTCTGATTCTGATTCTGATTCTGATTCTGATTCTGATTCTGATTCTGAAGAGGAGACATCTTCCTGTTCATCCTGGACAGGCGACTGAGGCCCGAAGTAGGGTGCCAGCCTAGGGGCTCCACTGGAGAGACCCCCCTGGTCCTCCTGCAGCTGCTCCCCAGACTCTGAGGAGCAATCTCTCTTCATTTTGTGAAGACAGGTCCAAGACCGGAGGCTCAGTGATCCAAACAGACCTGAGGAAAGAAACCCAGGTTCACCATGAAGCATGTGCCTTTGGGATTCAGCCTTTGACCGTGTGTTTTGGCTTGGATCTAGATGTCCCCCACAGCCTCATGTGGTCATAGTGGGGAGATTTGAAGGTGACTGGATTTGGGTGTGTGAATGTTGAGAAGGTGTGAGGTTGGGATGATGGGTGTTCCACCCTGGGCATGGGCGGCACCAACCTATAGGTTTGTAGACTGGATG